TCATTTGATCTAGACGCATTAAGGTTGTAAAAAAGATCCCAACGCATGAGCGTTGGTGAAACTGATGGGATTGGGGAATAGGGATAATCAACATACGGACAGAGCAGATCCGGACTCGCCACAGTGGTGATCCAGCCCAGCAGGCAAGTTATGAACCCATTCACCCAGGTGAGCCTTCTCCATGGCTCGCCACAATTCCGCATCACTAAGCACGCCGAAGGGGTCCAGGTTGAAACGCAGCGTCCCTGTAAACAAAACTGGATCCTAAAAGACAAACACATAACAGTATCGCAATAAAGCAATTTTTATTTTAATTGATACAGAGAGTGAACCTGACAGTCAGGCGATATCGACATCGGCAGTTATAGTGTGTGCTCTCTATTGCAAACGCTTAGAACACAAAAGGGACCCTATACTCCAACCATTTCAGTCCTTTCATTGACCAAGCTTGACAATCGGCACGAGCTGTTTTAATGGTAAACGTTCAGTGATCTGTGGCTCTTATATACGGTAAGACGTAAGAGGTCAAAGAATATTCAATTAGTTTTATCTAAGTCCATAATGAGGTCATCTGGATGCAGCGTCTACAAGTATATCCTTCTTAAATAACAACTTGTAGTTGGCAACCCAACGACAAGCAATCAACACAGTAAAGATGTTTGCGAACTTCAAGGGTCCAGCTGTCAGGTTAAAAACCACTGTGCATACACAAACCTTAAAAGGGGATAATTGTGTGAATAGGTTGGAAGACACCCTGACCGGTACGCCTGACATTTCTGCTAATGTAGCATGAGGCATTAAATAAGGAGTTACCGAGATTTCTAGATGGGAATCGTTCCCCCCACCCTGACAAGATACGGGAAGGAAGGGATATTTTTTACCCATGTCCTAACTCTAACACTAAACATTACCGAAACCTCGAACCTAACCTTACCTTTAGTATCACCCTTGAACCTGATTCTCCTGGAAGTTAACGCGCAGCCACCCGTACTAGGGGCAGTTTATTATTTCATGTATTGAAGGGAGGAGCATACAGGAAAGATTTGCCGAACAATGAATCAATTCTAAGTTTCTTTCACTATGCGCTGAGAGAGAGAGAGAGAGAGTAAAAGACTTAAAATATGGTTTTCCTTTTTCAGCGTGCCATTTCTGTAGAAACGTGATATACAAACGGTATTGTGACCTGTTAACATTGCTACTAAATTTAATTTCAGTAGACGCTCTAACAGAAGATAAAACGACATTACTGTGTATTAGCCACGGCCGCGTGCAGGACTGGTATTGAGCCCGGCGGACAGATTACGTTGAAAGACCTTTTCCGTGTGTTTTGACGTAGAAATGGCCTTCCTCGTTCGGTTTCCACGCGCCTTCTGTAAGGATTCCCACTCAAAAGAGGGTTCCGTACTCCACTGAACATAACCCTTTATATGATGTGAGCATGCCTTCTTGTCTTTAAACCATTTCATTTTACCGAAGGCCTCCGAGGTTTATGCGCCGCCATGAGTGTTACAGCTGTTCATAACCAGTGACCCGTTATCCGCGGAGACGTGCGGTAATACCCCAGTGTCGCCAGCGGTGTTACAGCGGTTGGTCTGCGGTTTAGCGGTTATCAACGGTGCGTTATATGTCCGCCACAGATTATCTACCTATCAGGTAATGCGACAATCAACACCAGTTGGACAACACTCGAACCTATTTCCACGCCAGAGTCTACCTCTCGATCTCTCAGGCCTGACTTAACACCGCCAACGGAGGCCCTGGCCACATGGGTCTGAGAAAACAGCAGGGATTTTCTGATACAACAAATACCTCCTTCCAATGGTCTCTGTCTTACGCTGCAATTCGGGACTTGGACAGAGGATTATGGCCCTCTGAGTACACTCATTGTTTACCTAACACAAAAGAAAGGGCCGTTCCTGATTAACACACTACCATTTGTCTGTCGCAGACAAATATTAGGCCTGTATGATATGCATTTCGTAAATGTTTACGCGGTTTTAGACACCACTACTGAGATGGGAGTATA